ATTAAATATTATATATTCTTCAAGGCCAATGAAATAATGGCTTATTTCAAGAGAAAAGGCTATTTGATGGCCTAATTTAACATTTATTATTGTAGCATTGCACCATGAAGTCCAAAATTTTCTACTTTGCATCACATGTGGATTTTCTAATTTTTAATTGGTTTTAGTGCCCACCATGTTAGTGTAGGGCATTTTGTAACCACTGACTAGCTCACTATTTCTAGAGCTGAAAACTAACCTCTTGCTGTTAACTGCTAACTTCAATGCTTATTAGCACTGAATTATCCATCCCATTAAAGATTAGTGAAAAATCATCAACTTGTACATACAGATGTTCTTTTTAAGGTCATTTTTCTGCTCAACACCAGCCCCTTCAATCTTTCTTTCCTTCTTGTCTTATCCCTGTGTATGTATGTAGGGCAGCACTGCCCAGATGAGTATTCTAATAATATAATTCAAGGACTGTTCTGGCAGCACTCAGCTCCTAAACCTACTGCAATTGAGTGGATTTCTGTTAAACCAGTTTTACTGTTTTATTGATACTGTATATCCTTTTGTGGGCCACAGGAGTGTTTGCCAGTAACAAAATCTGTGAAGGTGAACAGGGAGCTAAAACCAATTTGGTGGCTTCTCAGAGCAATGGAAATTAAGTACAATTTATTTTCTGGAAGAGGACTTAGATCTTACTTCAGAATTTCAAGAAAGGTTTTAAAAACAACAACTTATTTTTAGCTGTGACGTGAGCTGTAGGGAGCTCTAATCCCAAAAGAATTCTTCAACTAATAAATTGAAAAAGTTATAAAATGCCCAAAGAGTTTCTTTGTGTCTAGCTCAGGACGCTCTGAAATGTTACATACACACTCAAAGCATCTGTAGGATCTGCTTCAAGCCTAAAGTAGTTTGGGCATCCATGAGTAATTGAGAATAGTGAATTTAGGTTTACCTGCATCCCACCTAGAAAACCTGTAGGGATCTGCAAATGTAAAAGGTGTTAAGATCAAGAGTTCTATGTTCAGTAGCATTATAAAACTCTACGTTTCTTTCTGCCACAAATAAGCTCTGGAAAGACACCATTTAAATGCAGTAATAGGAACATGTTGATTTCTCTTACCTCCACTAAGTAAATATTATCAAGGTCATATGGGGTTCTGACAGATTCCACCATCCAGCTTTCAGGAGTATTTAGGTTTAAAGTGAACAGTGGAGACTGGGGCATATCCAAAAATTTGGCAATTGGTCCTGGAGCAAAGTTGTTATCTGCTGTGAAAGAAATCTCTGGCTCCAAAACATAGCGATAAAAGCTGAAATTTCAGAAAGAAAATGTTAGAACATGTTTCTGCCAAACTTTGTAAATATTTCACTCTCACTGAACTTGCCAATAGCATTGGCTTCCCCAGAACTCCAGTGTCTCCAAGGCTTTGTCCAAAGCAACACAGGTTGTGCTAACCTTAGAACAGGTTGCAGTGTTCATCTTGAAAAGGACCAAACAGAATGTGCAAGACTCAACCATTAAGATTAGTAAGTTATTTATCTATTTATATAAACAATAAAAAGCACCCAACTTGTAAACCAGCAGAATTAGCTTGAGCTATGCACAAATTCCCAGATTCTATATATATGATGCTATATATAAACAAGCTCAACACAATTATTGAGACGTCCTGCAAGATGCCTGACCATGTTTCTGTGCTTGCACATTCTAACAGGTTTTTCTCTCTCTCTTTTTGACCCTGGCATTGCTTACCTTTTCAGTGGCATGTCAGAAAGTCTGGACTGGCAGTTCATAAACACTCTTAGGTTCATATTTATCAATTGGTTCAAAACCTAAAGTAATGAGAAAAAGACATCCCTTAAAATGCTAAATAGAAAAGCTGACCACAGCTTTTATAGACAGGACCTCAGGGAGGCATGTTACCTGCTCATTCTCATTGTCTCTTCTTATTATTTGCTTATCACCCCCAACTTTAAATTGGTGGGTTTAAGAAGAACAGCTGCCTGTTCCCTCACATTGCAGGCATTGCTCCTCAAGAGAGGAGAGAGACTTTGCTCCTCAAGAACAAAGTCACTGCAAACTAAACTGTTAAAATGGTGGAACTAAAAGCTAACTAGACAATATCCAAGCATCATCTTGTTCGTGTGTAGTATAGTGTAATTGTGTTGTGCAACTTGGAGGCACTATTAGAAGGCCACTGGGCACCACCCAGTCAAGGAGGAAGACACATATTCCAAAATCACAGAATTGAGACAGCTTTCTGAAATGGCCATAAAATGCATCACAACACTGCATACATACCAGAAGTAATGGAGCAAGTCTCTGAGCATCTCTGGTCACAGGATCAACTATAGCCACAACATCAAAGTATGTCTCCCCCTCTTTTGGTCTCAGTTTAACTGCACTAAACAGAAGTAAAAACAATTTTAAAGTATCAAACATACTGATAAACATAGGAAAAACTCTGTCCAGCTCATTCTGAAGTCAAATTACTTCCTAAATGCTATGTGCCTTCTGAAACTAGATAGAGGAAAAAAATACATACATACATGTGTAGAGATAGGAATCTCACTGTGCCCTAAAAACTGTTGGAAACTTTCGTATTGCTACTTGGGCTTTATTTTTTTATTATTATTTTTTTAAGTTAAATGCAACATAAAACAATGGGAATGTTAAAAGACAGGAAGAAGCATATTGCTCAGCAAATGCCAGTAATCCTATACCTGTATCGCTCTTCAAAATAATGATATTCAATCCTTGACTCTCCTTTTGGTTGAGCAGAAAGAAGAGCGT